CCTGCTGCCTCTCAACAGCCCAACTCTGCCTCATGAGAGCTGCACTTTCCCCACACACAGTTACTCTTCTCTCCCTTTCCACAGCAGCACCTAAGAGCAATGGCTGCACCCTGCCTGAAGCTCCCCTGGCAGAGCAGACAGCAGACTCACATTGGTGGTGAAAGTGCGTGCCAGCAGCTCCTCGCGCTGTCTCTCCTGCTGCTCCCGCAGGTATCGCCGGTGCTGGAAGTTCCTCAGGGCTGTCTGCAAGTGCTGCACATCATACTTCAGCTGGTCAACTCGCCTGGGGAGGAGCAACAACAGGACACACCCAGGGGTAAAAATACTGCTCTTTTCTGGGGGGGTTTGTATGACCAATGGAGCACCAGAAAGGAATGTTGATAAGCAGCAAGGAATGAGGAGTTCTGCTTCCCCAGGAGATGAAGGACTTTCAGTGTCAGGACTGTATTTCACATTTGCATCTTCCCTGCCTTGTTTTTCTACTACAAAGGTGCTTATTTAACAGGTGATTATTTATTGTAATTAATTATTTAGCCTTCACAGTAACAACAGAATGGGAAGAATTCCTGAGGTGTCTCAGACATTATACCCCATGACTAGGTATATATATATGTACTCCCCATTTAACAGTGGATTGGGAAGAAGGTTCTTTTGCCCCATACAAAAGATGAAGCTTTCAAGCTTGATTAATTACCACCATGTTCTGGAGTGTTTATTACAAGGAGTTTAAAGGTCAGTGGGCAATGCAGGAGACATCTCAGTCATCTCCACTGGGCTGAACAGTGCCCAGAACTCCTCTGACTCTGGTTAAAGGTTTGATTACCAGACTAGACAACTGATTACCTTCGTTATCAAACTATCCTGGGCTAGTGGAAGGCATCCCTGCCCATGGCAGGGGTTGGAACTAGATGATCTTCAAGGTCCTTCCAAACCAAAGTAGTCTGAGATTCTATAAAGACATCAATGACTGTATCAGACACTGACCTCTAATACAGGTGACATGAAGTCCATCCTTAACATACATAAAGGCATTTTAGGCCTAAACATTAATAGCAGAGTCACAGAATAAGTTAGGACAGCAAGTCCTGATGTCTGTGCTCCAACCTCCTGCTCAAACCAGGGATCACTTTAAAATCTCCTTATTTTAGTCATGCAGAGCCAGGAACATGGCACCAACTGAAGAAATTTTACTCCCTACTCCACAAATGCCATTAAACCCAAATTTCATAGAGAGAACTTTTAAAGCATACAAGTGCAAGTTCTGCTCCTCTAAGAGACATGAATGCAGCTCCATCACCAGTCTGGACTTGCTGATCTTGTAGCAGGTTGCCCAGGGAGGCTGTGGCTGCCCCAACCCTAGCAGTGTTCATTCCAGGTTGGATGAAGCCACTTCCACCTCTGGTGGGAGGTGTCCCTGCCCAGGGCAGGGGGTTGGGGCTGGGTGATCCATAAGCTCCATTCCAACCCCTTAACATTCTCTGATCTTAAGAGATCTTTTCCAACTTTAATAATTCCAATGATTCTGTGGTTAAACACTGGAGAGCAGCATTACCTCTGTGCCTCATTTTGCTGCCGCAGAGGTAAGTTATGCAAGGTACAAAGGTTTGACACCAATCTAAAGGCAAAGGGCTTCACTAAATATGACGGAGAACTCACAGTTTGGCATTCTGCCGCTTGTTGGGAGGTTCTTTGCTGGACAGGATCTCCAGGCGTTCCAGGTTGCTGAATATGTTGTCTATTCTTGCCTGGATCTCATTCTCCACCACTGCAAGGAAATAGAAATGTGATTTGAATTAAAGAACTACAATGTGATGAAGGTAAAAGCTCAAAAGCTTCAGAGCAGCATGTAAAATCTGAGAGATGCAAACCCTCACTGGATGAAAACAATCGGATAACTGAGACCTGCAAATACCATCAAATGCCACTTCTTTAGCTCAATATTTGACAATTAATATTTCCCTCCTCCTCTGAGGGCTAGGAGAGCC